GATCTGTTATAAAATGTTTGTTCATTTGAGATAGGTGTTAATTTTTTGTGTTTTACAAGATTTCACATAATAATTACATTTTCACTTTTGTGTAACATTTTCCTTTTTTGTGAATGATATTTCACTAAAATGTTTTCAAACTTTTGACTTCTGTTTTTTACCTTTTTTCTCTTTAATTGAAGCAATTTCACTCATACTCTCATTTTGAGTTGTTACTACATCAACAAGAGACTGACTTGAAGAACTATTAGGTTTTTTTGAGATTGAGTTGCCATTGTCGCTAAGAAAATTTGCAGCATTAAGTTAATAAAAAACCAACAGCTAACTTGGTTGCATTCGTTGATTTGCAGTAAACAAGAAGAGTAAATAATAACAAATGTCGTCCAAATGTTAAGCCTAAGAGCAAAGGACTTATTGTCGGCAAACAAAAAAATGATGAAAAATGATATAGTTGCACATTCAGATAAAAGGACAATCATCTATAATAAAATAACTAGGAGTCAAACACCAACGGACAATAGTGAATGAAATGGGGGGAAACCAAGATACAAATAGACATATCTTTCCAAGTTCCAACAAAATTATACAAATATACATTTATAGCAATCCTTTTCGTCCAAAAATAGCTAACCTAGTAACATTTACAGCAACTATGCATATTTGACACAAACAAATATCATCCAAAATTTAGCCAACCAATAACAAAGTATCATTATCCCCAAACAACAGCGTATTTAACTCATTACATATTTGGGCTAAAAAATAGGTAGAGAAAAAATTGTGCATTGACAATTGACATTTAATAATTCACAGGCCCATAAGCATAAATCACGAAGTATAAAGGGAAACCAACAAACAAACAAACATATGATGATTGAGAACGTGTTAATATGTTATGGCCGAAATAAAGGGAAACCAACAAACAAACAAACATATGATGATTGAGAACGTGTTAATATGTTATGGCCGAAATAAGGGGAAATCAACAAACAATATCTCATTTAATCAAAAGCTCATAACTTTACAATACCTCATTTTGTAAAGCCAACCAAGATTCAAGAAGAAGACTTGGGTATACATTCTCAACTCTTGACCTAGTTAAGTTCAACACAATTTATCACTCTATCGCAATAACAAAATTTATTTAAAAAAACATCAAAAAATAACAATTTTTTTCCAAATAAAGAACTATTCAATATTTCCCCTCAACGATTGATTCAATAATAATAAATAACATCAAATATTATTTTAACAGAAATTTCACCAAAATCTAGGTTTGCAGCAAGCTAGCAACTAGCAAGTATGAGAGGTCAGTAAAGAAAATAAATATTTCTAATGAAAGAGACAAATCTATAACAGCCAATAAAGAAGTCATATTACACTCTTTACTTGGATTTTAATATTTCAACTAACCTTGAACATTCAACAAAACATATAATGTCCATAGGGGTTGGCAAGTGGCCACTAACAATCTAACAAAAAAAATAAAGAAAATTAATACCTCAGAGATCTTCGAAAGCCATGTCAAAAAAGTGCTTTTAGACTTATGCTCATAGAAGCAACTAATCAACCATTAATTTGAGCTTCAAAATGATTAATTCTGCCAGATAGAAGCAACCAAACTTTTTTTACATAATGATCCTGGGCTTTCCTCTTCAAACATTATAAAACAGATTGATGACAAAAGTTATAAGAAGAAATCATGGAAAATAATATGTTCAACTATGCCACTTATAAAAACAAATTTTCAACTAAACAAAACCAAGCACCAAAGAAAAATGTGAAAGTTGAAATCTATTACAACCCTAAAGAAAAATAAAAACACAACTTTCTCCTTCATAATGTTCAACACTCAACACCAAATGTAGCGGATGAATAAACCAAATTAGTTTAATGATAATAAACCTAAGAACTTCAACAATAACAAAAACAAAACAAAAATTCTTATTGCCAACCCAAGAAACATATAAACATTTACGTGAATAAAATAAAGATCAAACCAACGACAATATGAAATGAATATATATATATATATTATTGCCAACCCAAGAAACATATAAACATTTACTTGAGTAAAATAAAGATCAAACCAACGACAATATGAAATGAAAAATGTGAGCTTGAGAGAAGGAAGTTATTGTTACAGCAAAAAGTGGTGAGGTGGGAGGGAAGGAGATTAGGAAAAGAGCCAATGAAACCACCAAACCCGTGAGGCTTCTTCAAACCACCGAAGGCATGCTTCATCACCTAGGGTTAAGGATTTCATAAAGGGCAGACGACAGACCGCAGACTGCAAAGGCACCGGAGAAACAAAATGGGGGAGTTGTTGAGAATGAAAAGGATTTAAAGTTAACCCCGCATGTAAATCACCTGCAATCTATGAGGCTTCCACTTTTCCACCATCTTATCTAAACATGTATCATGTATCTGATATGAATGCGAGCTGATAGATCCCATATGACTCCTGCTCTAAATGCTCTAAATGGACAAACAAAAAAAGTTTGACCCAAGGGCTTGCTCATAGCTCAGCTCGTTATTTTTTATCCAAGCTCAAATTTGAATTAATTTTCGTGCGATCAACAATTTTTTAGCTAAATTATCAGTTCTACGGGTAGATTCGAGTTACCTGTGTTCGAGTCAAGAGTTCGGGTTGAGTTTTTCAACCCATACAATATTCCGGTCGGATTCAAATCAAATCCATTCGAGTCATGACAATTTTATGTTGAACCAAAACTTGACCCGCATACCACAATTGACACCCCTATTTAAACAAATGCCCAATTTTATCCATATCAGTTGCCACTTGCATTCCACAGAAGGCCTCAAATAAAGAGAATTAGAAACTGGTAACATAAAAATAGAAGATATTTCATCACTTCCCTAGTGTTTACATAACATTTGAATCTCATCATTTTAAGATTTATAGAAGTGCTCGAATATGCAACATATTGTTTAAAAACAAAGTGAAGAATATCAAAGTGTCAGATTTGAGTATGGGTGTCAAATTCGGATTAACAGGTCGAATTCGGGTCCGACCCGAAAATGATCAACCCTAACCCGAACCTGGGCCCGAATAATAAACGAGTCGAAAACTAAAACCTACGTTCGAGCTTGACCCGCTAACCCAAACCCGACTTAAAATTTAGTGCTTACTCGAGTCATGTTTGAATTTTTGGGTTTAACCCGAACATGACACGAATAATAAACGGGTCGAATTTTCTAACCTGAATCTGACTCAAAAAATGTTGGCGCTCACCTTGCCCTAACCTGAATTTTTCAAGTCGAGTTCGAGTCCTATCGGCGTGTTTGGATCAACTTTTGACACCCCAAGATTTGAGCTCTCACCCTGCCCGAAAAAATCTATAAAAGATGATTCAGAGGAAGAACAACAAAATCACTTGCTACAAAACACTTACATCCACCATAGAAAAATTATTGTACAAACACTTCTCTCAAAAAAAAATGAAAAGAATAAAAAGACCACCATCATTTCACTGAAACAAGAAGAGGCCATCATAAACATCAAGTTTTAACCATTTCATCTTCTGTGAAGGAAACTCTGTTGCCAATTTACTGATGATCTTATTGATCAACTCCTCATCCCCAGCTACTCATCCATCATTCAGTTATATGCTCTTTAAGATCACCTTCTGTGCGCCTGTCGTCGGGAGGCTTTGCTCGAAGAAAGCCATTGTCCTCCACCCTCTGCTGATCGGCCACCGCTGTAAGCTTTACCTCTTTAGCAATGGTGGTGGAAGAGGAATTTCCTTTCTCATCCCTCTCCTTCTCAAAGGCTGAACTTTTAGGAGAGGGTGGTGTTGTGCAACAATATTCGGCGGTTTGCTCATCTTGATCAGAAGCCGGCGGCTTGAGCTTATCCAATCCAACTTTGTATTGCTGTTCAAACATCAACTGGAGACATCTCCCTTGTTCTTCAATTCGTAGTTGCAGGTTCCTCTGAATCTGCAGAGTTAAATAGAGTTGGAAGATAGGGAAGATTATAAGGTTAGTAGAAAAAAAACCTTGGGAGTTGAAATAGAATCAAACAATTATATATAATAGCAAAGTTAGGTGGTATTTGATCGCATATTATTAATGGGATTTAGCCATGAATTTAACTAAAATCCAGCAAAACATCAAAACAATGAAAATTAAATCATACGCTCCGTTTAATTAAATCTCTCGTTCTGTGTCTTTTATGTCGTAAATCCGGATTTACTAATCAAATTGCGAGGCGGATTTATCTGTCGTCGCTCACAAGCTCCATTTTTGTTGCACACTAATTTTATAAATCTGAATTTATTGGATTTACTGAATATTGTAAATCCTATTTAACATAAATCTAAGTTGGAGCCAAACACCACCTTAAAAAAAAAAGAAAGATTTACACATATATATACCACTCGATTCCTATGTATTTACATATCTAAGGCAAAAACACTTCAATTTTTGTATGCATACCACCTTACCTATACATAGAAAAAGTATATTTCACTTTCAAGTTAGAAAGGTTGTATTTTTATTTGAAATGAAAGATTTGGGTTGTATGAACGTAAAAGGCAAATTTAAATGTAGATATGTATTACATAAGAATTTTGTAGAATGTGTATAAATGTTCTAATAGAAATAATGTAAAATCTCCTACAAAAAAGATACAATGAAGTAATGCATTTACACAACGTAAGAGAACAAGTGGGCAAGTGAATAGACTGAAGTAGACTACCAAATTAAAGTGAAATTTACATGTAAATTTGATGAAATTTAGATTAAACATTATACCTCGAGTTGTTCGTGAAGTCGTTTCTGAACCTCCATCTGCAACCGCAAGGCTTCTGTAAGCTCCATTCCACTGTCCATCAAAAGAAAGTGAAAGGTCAACTAAAATTCAATATATCTATAGCGTCAGAAATGTAAATTGTGTGCATTAAAATGAAAAATTGAACGATCTAAGCAGCATTTCTGCTCTAGCTTACATGAAGCTTTTTCATTTCATAGTTCTTTTCTTTTTTTGGTATATACATATGCTAGTAATGAAAATACGCATTTCAGGTGAGTTGATAAAATTAAATGATTTCAAAATGTGCATGGTATCAATGGATTAAAAAGAAAAAAAATTTAATATATATCAAATGAATAGAAGTTGATAAATATTTTTTATGAATAAGAGGTTTAACGTCTTGTACAAGGCTCACCGAGACCAGATTAAAAATTAGAAAATGATTGATGATATTGAACCTAAATAATAGGAAAATTGCTAATAATTAAGATGATTGTATGCAACTAGAAGTGGATTAACTCAAGAGGTAAGGAGACAAACTTTCCAGTCAAGTTCCATGGAGTTTCGCCAACCAAGCTCGAGATGAACATGCCAGCCAGGTTCCAGGGAAACTTGCTGAGCGGGTTTCGAGGAGACTTACCAGGACAGAGCTCAAGATGAACATGCCAATCAGGTTCATCAACAGACTCACCAATCAGTCAGGATTCATTCGCCCAGCCAAGTTCAAGGCATCAACCAGCCAGGACTAGATGAACGCACGTGCCGAATAGAGGAGAAACCATCCACAAAGGCTCAGGGAGAACTCTAGCAATAGACTAGCCAAACCGACCAACCCAAATTGTCTTTCATATCTAGAAAGCACTCAGCCAACACTTCGAGGGGACACAACGATTGTTACACCCGACAGCCAAGTATCAAGTTCAATCAAATTTTGAGTTTATCTTACAACTATATGCCTCCTGTATCATTTTTCTATATTTAATATACGAACAACCCATCCAATAGATTTTTCTGCAATGCACCGGAACCCAAATCTCCATCTATAAATAGAGAGTTTTTGGGGAGATCCAAGGGTTCAAGTTTTGACTTTTTTAGAAAGATTCTGTACGATACTCTTTGAGCCTACTTATCGATTCTTTTATCTTTATCTTAATTTCTATTAAACCATCCCAACTCCCTTTGGGTTAGCAGGATCCTGGATAATCCACGGACATATCAAGATCTAATATTGATGCAAATCTGTAATGATAACCCCCAAAATGAATGACATCTCTCTTGCCTTCCTAGCTCTGGCACAGTTGCTATTCTGAATTCCAGAGTGAAGTCATGCTGCTGACTAAAATGTGGCAGGATTCGTTACTCCGTTTTTCAATCTTCATTATAGCTATTTCCAAATTTTATGCAGTTCTGATTGCAGATTTAAAAACTAGCAATTCCTCATGGCTGAAATCGGACCTGTATTTTGAGAAAGTCACCTTCTATGGGATTTATTTTACATTGGAAAGCTTCGTATTTTGGGTCGTTTGATTATACATAACACACTGAGTCATGTAAAAATTCAATCATATAATTAATACAAATTCCTATTTTCTCTTCAGGTATGCCGGTTATATGTGAATTCTTCCAGTGTAGTACAAGTGTTAAGTACAAGAAATTTGGGTGAAATCTTCTTTGTAACAGCTAGAGGCCTGGATTAATAATTGGTGATTTCATTCCTTGCATACTTATTTTCTGTGCTTTAATAGTTGATTTGCATGAGTGCTTGAATTTTGTTAAACCTTACACAATCTGCATTTTTAATACTGATGCGATGTTTGATCGGATTGTAGCTTCTTATGATCTCAATTGCTCATTAAACTTCTAACTCAATGTTCGTTAAATAATCCTTGTAGGTCAATTTTATACGTGTTCTAAATTTCATCAAAAGTTTGTGAACTGCAAATTTAACCTTAATGTATATAACTTGTGCATCTCATCATAATTTGCGACTATAAAACTGCAAACCCTTAAGATGTCCTGCATCACTTTCTAGAAATGCAAAAAATGGGATGTATCATAGCACATTCAGGATTGGCAAAATGAAAGCATAGGACTAATTGATTATTTTTCTAACCCTAAACCCTAATCATGGCAAGCTTTTGAAAGAATTCAACAACAAATTATGAAGCCAACTAAGTCCAACAATCAATATAAACCCTACTTATATATTAATAAATATTACTTGGGAGGGAATGAGGTTATGCAATCGCTACTGTTCAAATGAGATCATCAAGGTTACAATCTGGAAATCTATATGGCCACCAAAAGAAAAACAAAATCACTTACGTTTTCAGGTCCAATGATGCCTTTTCAACAAGAGGATATACCTGCTTTTCTGAACTCCATGAAAAAAAAAACGGTAAATTCAGACTTCAATACCACAGTACTCAATAATTTGACTTAAAGATTAATCTACAAAATTTTAGCACAATTATTATTGTGCATTAAAATTGTCAAAAAAAAAATCACTAGAATAGTAAAGCACACTGAAATTGGAGATCAAAAGCAAAAAATAAAGGAATGCCAGCTTTGATTAACCTTCTAATGAATCTGGCCGGTACCGAGCTGTTCTATACTTCTGCAACATAAAACAATTCAATGACGGAGCCTTAGAAAGCTACAGTTTTTCCTACAAAAGCTACAAACCTGGAGGTGGCTTTTCACATGGTATATAGTCAATCCTTCCACCTTCATAAGCTTCAGAACTCCTTTAGGAGTGGCCTCTTTTATAAAAGAATGGTAAAAGGTCAGAAAAATGACAGGCTAGCAAACAAGTGCAAAAGGTTTTTATATTTTTTTTTTTGGCCTATGACAGGCTAGCAAACAAGTGCAAAAGGTTTTTATTTTTATTTTTTTGGCCTAAGGTTGAAACCACTTACTTTCGCTTCCACCGAGCTGTTTAACAGCATCTACAAAGCGTTCATGGAGTTCTGGGGTCCACCGCATGCGTGGCTTAGGTGGTGCTCCATTGATTGAAGGTGATGGACTGCTCATAATGCTCCGCTCCCCAGAATGCAAAGGTACCTGCTGATGAACATGCACTTGTTGGACCAATGGATTTAAACAAGCCTCTTGCGCTCTTGGGTTGCTTGATACACAGCCTTCAAAATATAAATGATTTCCGTAAGTGATCAAAACCATATTTCTACTATTTTCTTGTGAGTCCGAAATATTAAATAAAAGAAAGAGAAATTTACATAAGCAGCACACAATTCTTATGTATTTACACATCTCGCGCCTAAAATTTAGCGTTTACATACATTGCACATTCTTATGTATTTACACATCTCACGCCTAAAATTTAACATTTACATACATTGCAACTTGGTGCTTTAAACCTTGAGCATGAAAAGCCACATTTCACTTTTAAAAGTCATAATAGTACTATTTTTGTTGTGATATTAAATATTTGAGTGCTATGTATGTAAACATAAGACTTTTGATATTAAATATTTGAGTGCTATGTGTGTAAACATAAAAGTTCAGGCATGAAATATGTAAATGGATAAGAATTGTGTGTTATGTATGTAAATGCCCCTAAAAGAGAATAATATATTCTCTATAGTTAACATAAGTATTCAAAGTTTAAGCTGCAAATATCTATAAAAACTGCTATTATAGAAAAGAAAAAAAAACAGAGATGTAAAACCATAATTCAATAAATATCATTATGGTTTCTTATAACCTACTGACACACTAAAGACGAGAAAAGAGAGGAGTACAAACACCTTCAGCTGAGTTTCTGGTCCAACTGGGTCATTCAGAAGATCCTTCCAATCCTCGCTGCCCAAATCCCACCATTCATTTTGCTTAGCTAGGTCATCAGAAGCAGCAATAACACTGTTCTTGATTTGATTATTAATGGGACTGTTCTGGAGTTGACTGCTCCCAATATGCATATTATCAGAGTATCTAAAAATATCCTGAATGGATTCTGGAACCCAAGAGATTCCCGTAGCCTCTAAAGGGTAATTGCTCGCCAAACTTTGGACCGAAGGCATGGGCATTCCACAGCTTGGTGATGGAGCAATAAATGGGGCGCCATTAGGGTATCTCCCTTGA